CATCTGTTCTCAGGCACTCAGGTTTTTTCCAGATTCTGGCTATTGTAAAGAGTGCTGCAATGAACAAACAATTGCAGATGTCACTTCGACTATACCTTTTTGCCTCTCTGGGATATATTCCCAGGAGTGCTATAGCTGGGTCAAATGGGAGCTCAATTTCTAATTTTTTGAGAATCGTCCATGCTGTTTTCCAAAAGGGTTGGACCAGTCGGCATTCCCACCAGCAGTGAAAGAGGGTCCCTTTCTCTCCACATCCGCGCCAGCACCATTTGCTTTTGTTCTTTTGGATGTGGGCCAGTCTCTGTGGTGTGAGATGTTATTTTATTGTTGTTTTGATCTGTATCTCCCTGATGATTAATGATGTAGAGCATTTTCTTATGTGCCTTTCTTTATGCCATTCGAATTTCTTCTTTGAGAACATTTCTGTTCATTTCATTGCCCCCTTTTTTGATGAGGTTGGATGTTTTCTTCCTGTGGAGTCAACCTGTAATTTGTATATCCTTGATACCAATCCCTTGTTGGATGTGAATTGGGTGAATATCCTTTCCCATTCTATAGACTGTCTTTGTATTTTGGTCACTGTTTCTTTTGAGGTGCAGAAGCTTCTTAGTTTCAGATAGTCCCATTTGTCTATCTCTGTTTTCACTTGCTTGGCCAGTGGTATGACATCTTTGAAGATACCATTAGCTTCAATGTCATGGAGGGTTTTGCCAACTTTGTCTTCAATGTACCTTATGGATTCCAGTCTGATGTTGAGGTCTTTAATCCATTTTGATATTACTTTTGTACATGGTGTTAGACAGAGATCTGAGCCCAATTTTTTGCATGTAGCCATCCAGTTTTGCCAGCATAATTTGTAAAAGAGGTTTTCCTTACTCCACTTCTTGTTTCTTTATCAAAGATTTGGCTGGAGTGATAGCACAGTGGTAGGGCGTTTGCCTTGCATGCAGCCAACATGGCCACCCCTCTCGGAGAGCCTGGCAAGCTACCGAGAGTATCTCGCCCGCACAGCAGAGCTTGGCAAGCTTCCCGTGATGTATTCGATATGCCAAACACAGTAACAACAAAGTTTCCAATGGAGACGTTACTGGGCTCGTTCGAGCAAATTGATGAATAATGGGAGTACAGTGATACAGTGATATCAAAGATTAGATGATCATATGTTTGAGGGGATATGTCAGTTTATTAAACCCTGTTCTATTGGTCTGCAGCTCTGCCTTTGTTCCAGTACCATGCTGTTCTAATTATTACTCCTTTGTAGTAGAATTTAAAGTTAGGGAGGTCTATTCCTCCCATTTTCTTTTTCCCAAGAATTGCTTTTGCTATTCGTGAGGGCTTATTGTTCCATATGAATTTGAGGAGTGTTTGCTCCATTCCTTTGAAGAATGTCATGGGTATCATTATAGGGATCGCATTGAATTTGTACAATGATTTGGGAAGTATTGCCATTTCGACAATGTTAATTCTCCCGATCCATGAGCAGTAGATATCTTTCCATTTTCTCGTGTCCTCTTTTATTTCGTGGAGTAGCGTTTTGTAGTTTTCTTTGTACCGGTTCTTTACTTCCTTAGTTAAGCTGATTCCTAGGTACTTGATTTCCTGGGGCACAATTGTGAACGAAATTGTTTTTTTCATATCACTTTCTTCTCTCTCACTGTTTGAATATAGGAAAGCCATGGACTTTTAGGTATTGATTTTATAGCCTGCAACTTTACTAAACAAGTCGATTGTTTCTAGGAGTTTCTTGGTAGGTGTTATAGGGTTCTCTAAGTATAGTATCATATCATCTGTGAATAGTGAGAGCTTGATTTTTTTCTTTCCTACCTGGATGCCCTTAATATCTTTTTATTGCCTAACCGCTATTGAAAGTACTTCCAGTGCTATATTGAACAGCAGTGGAGAGAGTGGACATCCTTGTCTTGTCCCTGATCTTAGAGGGAAGACCCTCAGTTTTTCCCCACTGAGGATGATGCTTGCTTAGGCTTGTGGTACATGGCTTTACTTATATTGTGGTAAGTCCTCTCTTTACCCATTTTGGCGAGGGTTTTCATCATAAATGGGTTCTGGATCTTTTCAAATGCATTCTCTGTATCTATTGATATGATCATATGGTTTTTATATTTTCTTTTGTTGATATGATGGATTATGTTGATTGATTTCCGAATGTTAAACCATACTTCCATGCCGGGACTGAATCACACTTGGTCATGGCGTATGTTCTTTATGATGAGTTGTTGGATTCTATTCACTAATAGTTTGTTGAGGATCTTCGCGTCTGTGTTCATCAGGGATATTGGCCTGTAATTCTCGTTCTTTGTGGTATCTCTGTCTGCTTTTGGTATCAGGGTGATATTTGTTCATAGAAACTGTTCGGAAGTGTTTTTGATATTTAAGTTTTGTGTAAAAGCTTAAAGATGATTGGGAGTAAGTCCTCTTTAAAGATTTGGAAGAATTCACTAGTGAATCCATCTGTGCCAGGACTTTTGTGCTTGGGGAGACTTTTTATTACCACTTCAATTTACTTGATGTCAATAAGTCTGTTCAGGTATTCCAGGTCTTCTTGGTTCAGCCTTGGGAGTCTATAGGAATCTAGAAATTTATCCATTTCCTCTAGTTTTTCATGTTCTGTGGCATAAAGCTTCTCAAAGTACTCCCTGAGGATCCTTTGAATTTCTGTAGTTTCTGTTGTAATGATCCCCTTTTCATTTCTGATTTGGTTTATTAGGGTTTTCTCTTTCCCTTTCCTTGTGAGTTTTTCCTTGTAAATTTTGTTATTTTCCTCAAAGAACCTGCTCTTGGATTTATTGATCTTTCGAATTGATTTTTGGCTTTCCATCTCGTTAATCTCTGCTCTGAGTTTTATTATTTCCTTCCTCCTCTTCGGATTGGGCACGTTCTGTTGATCCTCCTCCAAGATCTTAAGCTCGAGGTTAGTTTACTTACGTGAGCTGGCTCCTCCTTTCAGAGGAAAGCTTGTAGAGCTATAAACTTTCCTCTTAATACAGCTTTTGCTGTGTCCCATAAGTTTTGGTAACTCGTCTCCTCATTTTCATTCATTTCCAAGAATCTTTTGATTTCCTCTTTGATTTCTTTTCTGAGGCACTCGTTGTCCAATAGTGAACTGTTTAATTTCCAGGTGTTTTATTTAGTTTTCTGTTTTTGTGTGTGATTTACTTCTAATTTCAGCACATTATGGTCTGAGAAGATGGTCTTCTTAATTTTATGGACGTATGTTTTGTGGTTCAGCGTGTGGTCTATCTTGGAGAATGTTCCATGCACACTTGAGAAGATTGTGTATTCAGCTTTTTGAGGATGAAGTGTCCGTTATATATCTACTAAGTCTCTTTCTTCCATTGTTTCCCTCAGATGAAGTACGTCCTTGCTAAGCTTGAGTCTGGTTGATCTATCAAGAGGTGATAAACTGGTGTTGAAGTCTCCCACTAGTATTGTGTTGCTATTGATGTCTTTCTCCAAGTCTATGAGTAGTTGTTTTAAGTACTTTGCTGGCCCCTCATTAGGTGCCTATACATTTAGTATTGTAACTTCTTCCTGTAGTACAGATCTCTTGATCAATAAGAAATGACCTTCACTGTCTCTTGTGACCTTCTTCACTCTGAAGTCAATGTGGTCTGATACTAGGATGGCTACCTCAACTTTTTTATGGGAGCTGCTTGCCTGTAGGATTATTTTCCAGCCTTTGACTGAGTCTATGTTTGCTTTGACTATTGAGATGTGTTTGTTGCAGGCAGCAGAATGTTGGGTTCAATATTCTAATCCATCCTACCACTCTGTGTCTTTTAATTGGTGTGTTTAGCCCATTGATGTTGAGAGAGATTATTGTTATGGGGTTTTGTCCCATTTTTCTGTTGGAATTTGGTGTATTTGAGGGGCCTGTCTTGTCTTAAAGTAGCCCATTTAGTTATTCATGTAACCTTGGTTTTGTGTCTATGAAGTTCTTGAGCTGTTGTTTGTCTGTGAAGCTGTGTGTTGTTCCTTCTGTTATTAATGAGAGTCTTACTGGGTAAAGTATTTTTGGTGAGGCATTTATTTCATTGACTTTTTTCACTATATCCCACCACTGTTTTGGGGCCATGAGGGTTTCATCAGACAAATCAGCTGTGAATCTTAAGGATGCTCCTTAATAGGAAATTTCTTTCTTTGATCTTGCTGCTTTCAGAATTTTGTCTCTATCTAAGGTTTTGGTCATTTTGATCAGGATGTGTCTTGGGGTATTTTTATTCGGATTTCTTCTAGCTGGTACCCTTCGGGCCTCCTGAATGTGGTCACATGTTTTCTTCAGCTCTGGAAACGTTGTAGCAATGATGTTTTTGACAGTTTCTTCTTCATCAGGGTTTTCTTCCTGTCCCTCTGGGACTATAATAATTCTTATGTTACCCCTCTTGGCTTCATCACGATCTTCTCTTGCCATCTGTTCCCGAATTGTGAGTCTCTTTTCCATTTTCTGCTCTTTTCTGGAGCGTCTCTTGACTTTGCCTTCGAGTTCACTGATTCTGTCCTCAGCAGCTGTTACTCTGTTGCTGAGGCCTTCCACTGAGTTTTTCGATTTGCCTACCAGGTTTTTCAGGTCTGACATTTTTGTTTGCATTTTCCTCATTTCTATCTTCAACTCCTCTTGTCTTTTATTGGCATTGCTTTCCATTGTTTCTTTTAGCTCCCTAAGCATCCTCAGTAGCTCCCTTCTAAATTCCTTGTCCAAAAGGTTGTCTAGCTCTTTATTACTCTTAGTATCTTCTCGGCTAGCCTCTTCACTAAGAAAGCTTGGTGGGCTTTTGCATTGCTTTACCGTTGTGACCAGTGTGGTTTAGACCCTCACGCTCACTCTTATTATTCTGCTTGAGATGCTGAATGAATTGGGATGGGCTTAATAAATTATTGGCTAATGTGTTTCTGGTGGTTAAGCTAACCTACTGAAAATTCCATCTAAGAGGGTAACTTATGGTTCCTATGGGATATGTAGTGGGAGAATAACTTGCGGCCGCAAAAATATGAAATGCTTCATGAATTTGCATGTTATCCTTGCGCAGGGACCATGCTAATCTTCTCTGTATCTTTCCAATTTTAGCGTATGTGCTATCGAAGCGAGCACCAGATGGGTTATTTGTAATCCCTATATTTCTTGAATGTGGATAAGGAAGGGAGAAGAGGAAGTGAGTGAGATTCACTCTTAAGACTCAATTTGTTTGTTAGCATTGACGATAGCGAGAGGAAACTAAATGTCAAGAAGTATAGGAGGTGCTAACATTGGAAAAGGGATGGGCATATCCTATTTAGAGTGTGTAGAAGGTAATCCAGCCCTGATTGCATCAAAATATCATTCCCTTTTCTTTTATAGTAAAGCAATTACTGCATGAACATATCTATCTTCTTTCCTTTCCCATGTCTATGTTCTAGTCACTTGTAATTTCATTTATATATTCACCATTATAACAGATTACTGAAGATTTTTCAATACTAAAATCACCAATTACACAAGTTCTTAACTCAGGCCTCCTTTACTCCCTATAATTTAGTACATTTGCCTATTTTCTTATTGATCATAATTGGGGATGTGACTCAGTAGCGGAGTAGTTGTCTTATATGTATAAGGCTCTGGTTTCAATTTGTGGGGCAGAAGCAAAAGTGAAAATGATCTTATTTTTATGATAGCAGATGCTGTGTTCTTGTTTTCCATTTTTAATGTATATTTTATTGTCTTAATTGCTGCCTCTAAGGTTTTATCAGGTGATATTTCTATGCTCAAACCTCAAATGATAAACAATCATGAAAATAGATATTTTGATTAAAGGAAATTTCATAGATTGATCTTATTACACAGATATAAAGTTGCAGAGGGACATAATAAGAGAATGGAAGGAACCCAGTAAGTTAGCAATAGGGAAAAGCAGCGGTCACGTCAATACCAAGATCCTGATATACAATATCCATCACCTGCCTCTGTTTTCCTTGGGTACCATGAAACTTCTGAAATGAAAGAGATGAGTGAAATTTGTACTTGTCTTCAATCTTCATCCTCTTCTCATCAAAAGGAACCACCATTTATTTATCTTGTTACTTAGACTAGACACTGGGTGTTATTCTTAATACTTTTCTTGACCTCACCACTCCCCCCACCCACCACACAAACAGGCATACAAAAACAAATCTTTGTATTTCCTTAGAAAATAATTTTTAAATATGACTTTGAAAAAATTTCCAGTCATCACTTTGGACAATTTGGGACAAACTGCCATTTCTCACTGCATCATAGGGGGGAAAATAAATCACATTTTTTTTCTGTTCTTTTGCCCAAGAACTACTTTCAAAACTACAAATCTGATATATGTTCAGCAAGTTCCTAAATCATAAATTATAGTTACATTTAGGATTCTTGGGGAAAAATCTTAACAGGCTCTCAAAGTGTTGTGCTATCAAATCTTCCTCCCTGTTGCCTCTTAAACTATCATCCATCCTTCCTAGTGCATCATAACTGTAACTTCCTCTAGTGGGTCTTTCCATTACACTCCCCCTAGAATTCTGTGCTTATCTTCTCTACTACCTCACCCATCCCAACCTAGAAAAGAGAGTTGTGCTACATTAGAGCCAGAACCATTGTACGGTTGCTAGAAAATTTACCTGGCACACATCAGAGTCAGGTTAATCCCTGACACCTCATATGGTCCCCTGAGTCTGTGAGGAGTAGTTCCTGAACAAAAAGCCAGGAGTAACCCCTGACCACTACTAGGAGTGCCCCCAGCCCCTCAAGAAAAGAAGGAAAATTTTAAAAAATGCTTCACTTCTAGGTGAAGTTGAGAGAAGAAAATGGGCATGCATGTGTTCTATCAATCTTTTGGCCTCTGTTTCTGAGATTTCCCTTTCTCCTGAGACTCTCCAATCCGCTCTGCCCTATTCACTCAAACACTGACCCATAAATGTAGCGGTTAAACCTGCAGTTCTAGGATTGTTTTTTATTAAACACAATTTCTTAAATACTATCTTCCAAGTTCTTATCTCTCCCAGTTGCATATTATCTCAGAAAAACAAGAAAGTGGGTTTATTTTACATGCTTCTCAAGTATACAACACCATAACTTAGTTATGTCCTCAACTGACAACATCCAAGGACACTTCCCCCTCCTCCATCTGTCACAGTGATACTGATATCCTTCTTTAGGTATAATCTATGGCTTATCTATTTGTCCTGCTGCATTTTTACCGAAAAAGAGAGAAACACTGTCTTTTACCACTGTATTTCTAGAGCCTAGCAGGGAGCAGAGAACAAACAGTCAGAAGCTGACTGCTAATAAGATGCTTGGAAAAAGTGACTCCTTTTACAGGAACTTGCAGTGAGGTGTCAAGAAAGCAGTGACTTTAGGCAGCAGAATCCCAAGAGGAAACCTAGATGCTCTGAAGCATTGAATAAAATTGATTTCTTGGCTTTTTACACACATACACACACACTCACAAAGAAAGGAATAAAAGACACTAGTTTCTGAAAAATTATAAGTGGATTGTATTTATAATATGACAGCAAAGTACCTCAGTTATGAGAAATGGAGAAAGACCAATAAAATCGAAGTATGAATTTTCTCAGAAAATGTGCCACTGATACATCAGTCTGTTTTTTTTCTCTATTGTGTACTTGAGCTATATATGAACAAATTATGGTGTTTAAGATGGACGCATTTAGTCAATGAAGATTTTAATGTACCTCTGATATATAATGAGTGCTGTGGCTGTAGTATTTTTGTGTTTAAAAATCACTGTCCCAGTTTCAGAGTCCACACGTCATTTATGATCTTAGTAAAGAGCTAATAGCAGGCAGCATGCTTTAAAGGATCTGAAGATTTGCCTTGATTCATGTGTATTTCTTTTATAAATTACTCTGACTGGGCTTTCCAAGAGTTTCCTCACATCTATCCTTAAGGCTTGGTGTATATCTTTTGTCAGCTAAAACACAAGGGGCAGCAAATGGGAGAAATGAGCTCATCTACTGGGGATTCTAGCAATTCTAATAGAACTTAAGGATTCACAAGGGGAATTCTTCCTAGGAAAATAGCTCATACATCAGCATTTAATACAATGGGACTGGACTCAAGCCACTGCTCTGCTTCTCTATTGCTGTTTGACCTTGGTAAGTTTCTTAAACTTTTCAGTCTCTGAGATTTTCAACAACTTCAAAGTGGAGAAAATGAAAATGAATGTGTTTTTAAAAAATATTTTTAAAAAAATTTAGAACAGTTTTAGATCCATAGAAGTATTACATAGATGTATAGAGAGTATAAAGTTTTTATGTATTTCCACAAAATATTCTCTCTTACTACTATTTAATTTTGCATGTATTTTGATTTTTGTCTTGGGGGCTACATACCTGGTGATGCCGAGGGCTTAATTCTGGTTTTTTGCTGCTGGATAAATCTAGGTAGTACTTGGAAGACCATATAAGTTTCAAGAGGTCAAATCAGGATCAGCTACATGAAAGATAAATACTATGCCTGCTGTACTCTCTCTGAGACCCATCATCGTATGTTATTAACATGACATATTGTTATGATTAATATGCCAATAATAAAAGTAACCTAATTGCATATTCACATACATATCTATAAGTAAGGTCTATACTCCCTCCATTTATATATATATTTTTGTTTGTTTTTTTGTTTAATGTTCTTTTTCATTTAGAACAACAAACAATATATGTTCTATTTAATCATCATGTCTCCTGAGTGTCCCTTGACTGTGACATTTTCATAGGTTTTTTTCACGTGTCGTTATTGTATTTATGTCTTCAAGAACCATGTTAGACACTTTTAGTAGTCTTCCTAATATCTACTCAGTCTTTCCTTTCAAAAGAACGATGGAGACAATGTATTCAGCTGTGATAGTATTTCACCCAGATTCCTTTGCAGCTAGAAGTTTACATATGGCCCCATCATGGGCAACTGTGAAAATCACACATTCTGTTCAGAACTCCTCAGAAAGCTTTTGAAAAGGGTCAGTCTTGTTCTGACATGGTCTGGCATGTTCCTTTGCCTTTGTATATAAACCCATGTTCACGTCTAGAGGGGGAAAATTTATTAGAAATGTAATATCTATAAAACTTCATATTTGCTTAGCATATCTAAATAAATTTTATTTTTGTATTGAAATAAAGGTAAAGGTAAAGGCCCTCCCGTTGATCGTCGATTTGCTCGAGCGGGCCCAGTAACGTCTCCATTGGAGACTTTGTTGTTACTGTGTCTGGCATATCGAATACTCTCGGTAGCTTGCCGGGCTCTCCGAGAGGGGCGGAGGAATCGAACTCGGGTCGGCCATGTTGGCCGCGTGTAAGGCGAACGCCCTACCCGCTGTGCTATCGCTCCAGCCCATTGAAATAAATATATATTTTCAAAAACTAAATTAATATATGACTTATATATAAGAAACCTCATCTTTTGAGATATACAATTCAATGACTTGTTAGAATATTTGGAGTTGTGTAACTATCACATCAATCAGTTTTAGAACATTTTGTTCACCCTCCAAAGATCCCTGAATCTACTGTCAGTTTATTCCTGTCCTCCAAGTATTAGGAAACCATTAACTGGCAATGACTGTTCTGGGTGTAACTTATCTCACTTAGTAGAATGTATTTTAAGATCCATCTATGCTGTAGTATATATTAGTATTTCATTTCTGTGTATGGGTGAATACTATTATACAATCTAGGCATATTGCGTAGTATTTATATAATCACCAGTTACTGGATATTTGTTTTTTTTTAGACTTTCTGGCTATGCTTCTACGAGTATGTTTATACAAGTTTTAATTCAACTTTTTGTAGAATTAAATGCATGGAGGGATAGAAAGAGATTAAATGAATATAGGAGTAGAAATAATTGATATTTTGTGAACTTTAGAATGAGCATAAAGAAAAATCCTCCCACTAATAATAACTGGGAAAAAATACAGAATGTGACATCAGAGAGGTGGTAGTTTTCTTAAACTTTCTGCCTTTGAATTTCTTATTGTACAGGGATAAATAGCCTCCTTTCTTGTTCAAAGGACATATAAAAATTTTCTAAAGATATTTACTCTTTAGTTATTTATTTTTATTGATATCCGATTAAAT